ACTGCTTCATCTTCGACCCATTTTCATATCGCAACTGCGGTCGTTGAGTAAACGGCTCAGTCTTCCCTTAACACCCAGTCGAACAGCGGCAGAAAGCCGACAAATTAATGAGTTTACAGATTGATGATTATCAACAGATTGATTTGCCCCTAGTCCTCTCCACCGATTTTATTCTCCGCATCTTATGGAGAAAGCTAGACAAGTGGCTTTCATTTCGTAGTTTGCAATCGCGCAATTCGGTCGACGTCTCCAAAAGGTACTGCTCCCTACCCTTCATGCATGTGTATTCACATACTTTGCAGATGTGGACCCGATTCCTTACCGTTATACTAGTCTCATTGCTCATGGATGAAGCAAGGCAAACGCCGAAAACAAAACGGCCAGGTCAAGGCTTTGGTGAGTTCTTCCAGCTGAAAAAACTGAGTATATTACTTCCAACCATGATATTTCAGGAAGATCTGGAGGCTTTGGCGGGTGAGTTAGTGCTCTACAACAGAACTGAGCGTTTCAAATTCAAAAGAATAGTTGTAAGTAAGTACAAGTCGCTGTGATTGACATAAAGTAGGAAACGACGCATGTTATCCCCGTAAAAGACTGTGACTGCATTACATAGCTTGTCAAACAAGGCACCGCTTCATCGACCCCTGTGCCGGCGACAAGGCAGTATGGGGACTGATTTCGTGCAACACTGGTTTCGCTTTCTCTTGGCACATTACGCAATTGACCTGAGCTGTGCTCCCTGAGTAAGACAACCGCTCTCATTGCGGAAAAGGTGACTCACTTCTGAAACGTGAAAGCGAATGGTACGGCCCGCGACAAGGCTATCCCCACCTACTGAGCAAGCCGCACCCATGTCTAGCAGCTCATCTGCGGTTTGCATCCAGCACAGTGAAGCCAATCTCTCAAGTTCAATCCCCTCTACCCCTTGATTACAACTATCTCTCATACAGATAAAACTAGTTGTCGATGGAGGATGATCCCATCCCTCCCTCCTGGCTTAAAGTTCCTTGAGGAGAAACTGGGAAAATGTAAAGAAGCCGATTCAAACACGCCCTCTCTTCGCTACAAAGATGATTTCACTTACCATCAGTGGATGCGTAACTACCTGACATATCAGTTGGAAATGTAGCAAAGGAAAGCTTATCAGAGACGCTCCAGTGAGAATCGGTCAATACTCAGCATTGGGCGAGAGCGGAGACGCTAAGCGCGAGGTCGTCAAAACTCAAGAAATACTTGTGGATATATACTCACTGCAGTCGGATCGCCGAACTGAGGCCGGGCGCTCCTCCTTCATGTGTAATGGCCTGGCTTTGCTGGGCCGTTCTGGCTTTGCCATGCCGCCGTTTAAGGCGAGCTTGAAAATGAAAGATGTGTCAAATGACTACACAGCGGTTTTGAACGAAAGAACTGAACAGATGGAAAACTCGCAAGCAGCTCTATATCACCTATCACCGTACGCTTATCGATTCCCCACTGCTAATCCCGTCTTTCAACCGCGCTCTTCTCGAGAAGACGGCACAGTTCAAAGAAATCGCTATGCATCACCGAAGAACTTAGAGCTCGTTATTGGCAGCACATACTCCCCTCTGAGCCCTCATTGATTGCATAGAACCTCTCCTGGCAGATTAGGGTATGTGGCAAGAGAATCGTGATTCGCCGCGCCAGTGAGCGTCGCGTGCGACGTCGCGCCCATTAATGACAGCGATTTTGGGTGATATTGGTCGAGAGTAGGCAATGTATGACCAAAAATAGACAGAAGTGTTCACCTTGTCCCTGTCTACATGAAATCCGACGTTCCAATCGAAAGGTTAGTGCGAAGTAAGAAATCGTCGCGCTCAATGCCGTGCGCGACGAAGCGGGGATGTGCGGTTCTCTTGCCCGTCTCCTGGCAAATTATTCATTTTGAAGAGCGCAACGGTTACTCAGTCTCCACAAAATCCCGTTGATTTTCTCTTCCAGGCGCACAGTATACCTCTCCCCCTTTCCAGCATTACTCGTAATTACTCGTAATAAGAAATGGCAATGTCTGCTTCCATATCTTAGTGGATGAGGGCATAAGGGAACAGCCAACACTGAGCTGCTTGCCTGTAATACTTAAGCTACAGATGCAGCAGGACAGACTCAAAAAATGTAGTAAAGGCAACTTTTTATCAGTACTTATCAAGTGATATCATCATTGTCACCCGTCGTCAAGGTCCCCGCTCCAAAGCCTTCGAATTTTGGCTGTATGAAACCGATGTCGCCCCAAAGAGGGATGATGGCCCCTAATGCTCGTTATCAGTCCATATCAGCTGTTATTCCTTCCTGTAGCCCAAACTGAGTGCCACAGGCTCACACTCTATATCGCATGTTCGAGTTGACTCCTACTGTTGCTGCGACCCGCGCTATGCTTTTGGCGACTTTCCACTTCTATACCCTTTTATCGGTTATCAAAGGTGATAAGCTTCTGTCACCCATTAGAAGTGTTCCTGCCTACGTTACCGACCCGTGCTATTACATAATTTGTGGACGGACAGACATACAAACAAACAAACATTATTAAAACAATCAAACAAACATACATACATACCGACAAAGCGACACACGAACTTTCTGTTTTATAAAGTAGAAGGATAGTTAGAGACAGCCCGGACAAGACAAGGTCAGAGTCAAACCACAACCCGCTAGCTTCTTACTTAGCACTTTGAGTGGCAAAGTGGCACAGTATGTTCGGCTGAGAAGGGATCCATACGGAATGAATAGTGGACATGGTAATTACTTAAGGGACTTTTAAAAACAGCTCACGCGATAAAAGTGACATGGATAGTTGCTTTTCAATTATGAAACAGTAGCTGATAAGGAATTCTCTAAAGAAGAAAAAAATTAAGGAGGGTCCTCAAGAATACCATATGCAAAATCGCTGCTTGATAGTCACACCCTGCGGTCTTTGTGCAATCCCTAGCTCACAAATTCCTTTATCACATCTTCAAGTAGTGGGTTTCATCCAATGCAAAGAAAAGAATACTAAAAACAACAAAAACACGGAAGAAAAACCCTTGAAAAAGAAAATGAACTTGCAAAAAGTTGGCGTCTGAGTTTAGGGCTATGGTAGCGTGCATCTTTTAGTGAAGTAGTACGTAGAGCTTTTGCAGCACGAAAATTGGATAGCTCGTAATTTTTTTATGTGTTTTACCTCCCAAGATGGGTTGGTGTTGACTGTATGTGCTCCTAATGAATAAAATGTGATAATGGAGAGCAAAGTCTTTCATGAGTACGAGCGCGGTCAGCAAAAAAGCATGCACTTCTGATTAATGCCCGCCACTTCAACAAAGAACAACTGAACGGCCCTCCGTTAGAGGGTAACTAGCAAATGGGCGGTGCAACCGAGTGGGCGTTAGAACCAGAACTTCCAGCGGCTGAAGCACTCTCCTCGCTCGCTTTGGATCGTAAGAGTGGGACAATCTCCAGCTTGGAGGTTGTACTACATGCACAAGAAAGGAGACCATACTACTTGATCGCGGGGATTGTCTCTAAGGTGACTGTGGAAGGGAACCAACAGCACCATACAGTGACGTTGTACAGTTCGAGAATGTGCTACCATGGATATCGGCAACTGGGTGGACCACAATCCCTTGATTATGTTGAGTGATTAGATGTCGGCGGTATCGACGGTGACCCCTCTAACCTCTCAAAGCTATGTTTGTTGGAGGATACCCGCTGAATACACACGCTCGGGTGGACGAAGATGAGGACTAGCTCGTTCATGCGCCCCCTGTTTCCCGTCTGGAGATGAGGGTGCATCCGTGAGTAAGGCACAGTTGTTCACTGCATCCACCCGCTCGATTACTGTAGAATGTGCGTTTCACACTCTTTTCGGGCTGATAGGGCAGCGTGTTGCTTGTGATGGAAGCGCGATTGCCCGAGGAAATGTAGTTCGGGTCCAGAACTCAGAAGTCTGGTAAATCAGAAATTTACTAGTACTCATGGTAGTGTTTTCCGCCTCAAACTGTTTAGATTGATCACAGAATAGACTGACTACAGAAAATTTAGGTTTCGCACAGGTGCCGGCCCTGGTTCGTATTCGAGTGGCCATTCATTCACAAATGCGTTCCTAGGCGGAGCTCTGGGAGCTCTAGGAGGCCAGTGTTACACATCATGAACAGTTAACTCCTTTACATCATCAACGACAACATCAGGCGCAGTTCGACGACGGAGTGGGGGGGGGGAGCATTTTGCACTTTCGCTTTCCCATCGACGTGTCGACCTATCTACAAGGCCTCTTCTAGAGGCGACAGGTTTGACATGATTGCTTGGCGACCGTGCTCCAGCCTCACAAGGTTCACAGGTTCCGTCAGAGTGGGACTTATAAACCGGAACTAGGGAAGCAATGATGGTACAATATTCCCCGTCGCCGAACTGAGCCACAAGATCAGCCTTTTCCATATATAACTAGCTATGTGTGCAGGGTGCACCAAGATACTGTAGACCTGCGAGAGTGGCCCTGCGAGCATCGCAGCCTACGGGTGTCTTGGATATGCTGCCTCGTCTACCTCTAACAAAGGGAATATGACGGCACACAGGAAGCAAACAGTCTACTCGAAAGCACATTCCGAAATGATATATGGACAGAAAGGGGTTCGAGCTGGCTGCGTCATTCCCCTTTCATCATCTTAGCAAGACGGGCGCACTATGGGGGGAGGCACGAATGATCTTCTTCTTTATCATTGCTTGAAGGCAGTGGGCACGATTGCTGGAGGCAAACGATGTTGTCAGCGTCATTGGTGGAAGGAAAGTTGGTCCACAAAGCATTAGGCAGTTCGGCACGCCAGCCTTCAGTCCTTCCACCAATGATGCAGACAACAACCGTCAGCCTCTAGCACTGTCTCCAAGGGTTGTCGAAAAGGTGGCTCAAAGGGGGTATGTCCTAAACAAACACGGGTTAATATTCGGACAGAAAGTCTGTCGGCTGTGATCAAGGGATACCAACTTGGACGAAACTCAGCCAGAACTAATTTTCAGGTATGCTGGCATTTGAAGGAGGCAAATACATCATTCTATCCATGGATACCCCGTTCTTCTACGAAGGCCGGGATTACTACTTCGATATCTATCCAAGAATGAGGGATGACTTGATACTGTGCTCTGTGTCTCTCAATAAGTTGAAACAGGTCGAAAATTGTTTTCAAACTTCATCCATTCTTACACATGCAGAAAGGGATACATTTTTAGAAGAAGCCTTTTTTCGTTCTAGCAATACGATTATGCCTTTTCAAGACACAGTCCACGCTATTCGCAGAGGCGGAGCTGGACCAAGCGTTGCGCCTTCATCATTGACCAGTCGGATCACCCGACTGCCCCTCCTTTGTCACACGGCCCGACTACGCTGGGCCAACATGGCTTCGCCAGGCCCTCTACCCTTGGGCGAGGTAGCATGCACTAAATGTGCTAAATGATGGCACTTATTTTTTTTATTAAAATGTAGGAAAATGAGTTGAAAACAGCTCAACATCAGTCATTACCTACCAACATCTACTCCCTCCCGTTTACTACAGACTTTCAACCGTGAAAAGGCTGCACCATATCATTAAAGGCAGTTGACACGATAAATCCCTCAAGGCGACTAGCATCAACTCCTGGCAGGATATAATTGCGCGACCCTGGGCAAGCGCTGCATTTTTCCGAGGAAGGTGCCCTTATAAGGCCCTATCAAGCCACAACTTTACGTCCCAAACGCCCGCCACGCCCGCCCGCCCACAAATGGACGACCGTTCCTGACGCTCGTATTCATTCATTTGCTAAGTAAATTATGAAGCGAAGGGATTGGTATGAAGCGGTCGTGATGCTGCATGCATACATGGGTTCATATATGCAGCCGTATCTTCGGCAGCGGTGATTGGTAAGACCCCTGCGGGAAACTCGTCCGAAATCGATTTACAAGTCACTGAGAACGGAGGTTTTTCCGTCGCAGGATTTTGACCGTTTCACTCCGTTCTTTCGCCATTTCCCCCCCCCCCCCACTATACAGCGCCCTACTAGCATTTTGGCTAAGTAGGAAGCCATCGCGTCAACTGCCTTCAAGGACCGCAGTTACGACATCAGAATGGGTTGTGATGAATAAGTCCCGATGGGTCCTAACACCCGAAAGAGGCATAGGCGGCACTGAAAAGAGAACTTCACATTGTTTGTACATAATAAAGTGTTGTCGCATAGAGAGCTCGTATGTTCACCGACATGAGGTCCCCACTCGTAATTGTGGGGTTTCCTCCTTATTTTGCTTCAATTGGCGACCGCCACCTCCTAACACATCACAAATTTTTCTGCTAGATGATGAATTTCTCGATTTCCCGTTTCAGCCGCACTATATACTCCCTTTTCCCCCGCACTTCAACACGTTCAGCAATAGGATAAGGACAGATCCCCTCGTGGCTGCAGCACTGATCCAAGACATGTAATAAGGATAGCCCTTTATCCAATCTTATCTACTGATATAATAGCTGGGCACCTGTCATTGAAGTCCGTACCTCTGAACCTCCTAATTATGGCTCTGAGGAACAAATACCGCCTAGAAGAGGGACGGTGGCGGCGACGTCCTCATCGAGCCCACCAATAGTGCTTATTACCCACCAACAGTGCCCCCGTCCCAACTCCTATACTACCTGTTGGATTTGGCTTCCCAAAGTTGCTGCGACTCGCGTTATGAATTAGACGACTCTCCACTTCTGTAACCTCTTATGCTGCGACTCGCGTTATGAATTAGACGACTCTCCACTTCTGTAACCTCTTATCGGATCTTATCAGCTGCTACAAATTTCTGTCACCCACCAATAGTGTCCCCGTCCCACTTCCTATAATACCTGTTGGATTGACTTCCTAAATTTGCTGTGACCCGCGTTATGAATAACCGACTCTCCATTCTATGAATAACCGACTTTCCATTCTTAAGCCTACGAAGCATTTTGCGGACGGACAAACGTACAAACATACATACATATCGACAAACCGACACACAAAGTTTCTGCTTTATAGAATAGAAGGATTTGCTGCTCCCTTTGTGTATTAGCTAGGAGTGAAGCACCGAGAGAGAATGATTGCACGGCTCCAGCCATAACGATCGCGCAGACTGCTTCTTCGAGATCCCTCAAAATGAAACGTCACTCTTCACTTCAGCTGTCCGGTAAGCCGGTGAGAGCAAAACGCGAAGATCCATGGTCATCGAGCATGACATCTCCACTCACTACCATTTCTACCCCGCCGACCACGATGAAACCTGATGAAGTTTTGGATAGCGTGAGTACCATTTAGTCAGGGCAGAGTTGGCACGACATATTCGGCGAACCATTTATTTCTTGACACAAGCTTTGATAACCTGACATCCTTGTAACAAAAGTTCTCAAAATATGGAAAATATTTTAGAAATTTGGTAGGAGTTGGGAGGGCTCAGCGAAGCGGCAGATAGAATGGGGAAGGAGTTTTATCTAAGTAGGAACTTTCAGACGGGACTTGTTATACTAAAACAAGTCACCTCCTCGTACTGTGCTTTTTCTCAAGAAAGCCAAAAGAGCAGCCAGACAAAAGGAAAAAATTGTGGAATAAATACGGAATCAATAGAGGGAATAATACGAAAATGTAGGAAAATATAGGGACGAGAATGGCTTTAAAGTGTATCCTCATGGAAATTTTGATTCTCCTGAAAAATAGCCACGACTGTGCGCCTTAGGGCGGTATCAGCCATTACACCACACCAACTGCGCCTCGAATTTTGAAATTTCTACAAAATTAACTAATTATTATTTTTGTAGATACAATATAGGAACGGTACGCAACCACAAGTTATTACGTGGGCATGTATTAGAGATGTTGAATTATGCTGTGGTACTGACTGCTGTCCCGAGGACGATGATGTAACCGTGGGCAATGTTCTTGGGTGGATTGTGTGAGTCACTCGAGGTTACATTCAAGTCAACTGGATCATATGGACCCTTCCGTTGTAGCCTTATCATCATCATTGGTTTAGTTGTGATCGCCTGTTGCATTTCGTTGTGTCATGCTGAAGGTAAGTACCACCTTTTCTAGTTGTTTTCGGGTTTTTTTTTCTATCAGTGAGCTGGGCAGAATTAAGCCTATAGAAGTCCTCTGAATGCAGCTTGTACTTATTATGAACATCTGAGCCGCACCAGCAACCAACAACTTCTGCAGTAGACATCATGCAGGAGTAAAATGATGTTTCAATCCGGATCTTTTTATAGCAGTTTTCAAGGGTTTTTTGGGCAAGCGTGAGCCGTGCATCAGAGCTCTCCCGTAATACACTTCATATCTCTGATATGGGGAGGGCGTGGCTGCGCACTTTATTTGGACGTGGCGGCGGCTTCCCTCGCGGTGGGATCGTTTTGTTGTGAGACGGTTGTACTCATGATATTGTCCACCTCAATATGTATAGGATGAAAGTTGTCCCAGATGGGAATATCCGTGCACTCTGCAACCCTACGCCATGGTCAAGGTACGCACACAACCACGCCCCTACAACTCCCGGATATCGAGTGTGGTTCCGTTGTATGAATCAAGTGTCGAGTTAAATACACTTTTCTTCGTAAGCGAATGGGAGGAGAATTGAACTGGGACTCGCAACCACTAACTCTTTCTCGTTGCCTCTCCCTTCTGTATTACGAGCAAGACAACACAAACGGGGGAGGCACAACAGTCGTAAGGGGACCGTAAGGCAATCGTGATACGCCACAGTGATGGGGATGGCAAGCAACGTCACTCCCGACAGACGAGTTGTCCTGGCTAGCCGTTCCAACATGAGTGTCAGAAGAGAGGGAAATTCGATATTTGACGTTTTGGGTTTTGTTTTGACTCGGACTCATGTGAATTTCGCCGCTATAACTGAAAAACTGATGCACATCAAGAATCGCTGTGCATGGCCGCAAGATGCACGACAGGATCTGACGCGGCTAGTTACGATTGTCTTGCCTGCCTCCCACTTGTCAGTCTACGCCGACAGCTGAGAATGTGAGCGGAGACTGGCAAATGAAAGGCAGCTCAAACAACCGCGTGATTCTGAATAAAACCTCAATCACTGTGCATAATATCGCATCAATACCGATCCTTTTATCCGATTCTTTCTATGAAACACTCAAAGTGCTCAGTATTTCAGCCCCGCAGGGTGTCCAACATGATAACCCTTCACCACAAGTGCATGGACCCGACGGCCACTCACAGTCCTATTCAAAAGAAGGCGACCCATCTACGGATAAACCTCCTGAAGGCCCACCTGAGGGATATCAACCTGAACGTTTTCCTGATCGAAGCCTGGAGAAGCAGAAAGGAGCAAAGACTTCCAAAGAAGGTTCGATATCGGCCTCCAAAGGAGCTTCAAAATTGAAGGAAAGTGGGCAGAAATTGGAGGAAGGAGTGCCAGGCAAAAGGAGCCGAAATCAAAAGAAGAAAAGAAAAGTTAAAAAAAAACTCTACACCGTAGTAAATTTATACAAAATGACTTTAAAGTGCATTCATTTATCCTCGCTGTACAGAAAGATTTGAGTTGTTATTTTGATATCAAGAACACTAAATTCTTTTCTTACATTCTATAAAGCAGAAACTTTGTGTGTCTGTCCGTCCGCAAAGTGCTTCACAGGATTAAACAGGTTAGTGAAAGCAGAAAACGACCGCAAGGCAAACCGGGATTCGATCGGTGCAGATGTATCAATCCAATGTTTTGATTGTGATAACAGCATATAACAACCATTCGGTACGCTCCGAGCCATTGCACGAGCCGCTCGGGTGGCAGCTGGACGTGAGCTCGTGCGGGGGCAGGGTGGGGTGAAGCCGAGGAGGGGGGGCACCGAGTGACCGCTCCCCTCTGCTTCCTTCCCCTGCACCTGCTCAGCCGGACCTGAGCATGTGCAAGGGAAGGGGTCCGGTGAGGGGGTGCGTAGCGCACGCTCGAGTGGAAGCGCGCAGCAACACAGATAAAAAATAACCACTGGAGAAATTGCAAATTGATCCATATTAAAAAAGGCAGGATGATGTTGTTTTGATTGTGGATACCCCCATCCTACTATATATAATCCACTCAGTGTGTGTGTGAATGTCTGTGTGTGTGTTTGACCGGAAATTCTTAACTTCCTTCAAAACAGCGATAAAGCGCTCAAACTGATAGATGATGTAGGAGGTCGGGCAGGAACATTACTGGTGGGTGGTAGGAAGCGATAGCAGTTGGTAAGGTACCATAAGGGGCCGTATAAAGGCGAATTCAGCAAATTCATAACGCGCGCCACAGCAAGACTAGAGCATTGATTCCAAAAAGTTAGATAGGGGGCAGGATGGGAACATTATTGGTGGGTGGCAGGAAGTGATAACAGCTGGTAAGATACCATAAAGAGCCTCAAAAAGAGTGAGTTACCTAATTCATAACACCGGCTACAGCAGCGATCGGACGTTGATTTCAAGAAGTTAGATAGGGGGCAGGATGGGAACATTATTGGTGGGTGACAGGAAGTGATAACAGCTGATAAGATACCACAAGGAGCCTTTAAAAGGAAGGGTCACCAGCTCCATAGCGCGGACCAAGCGACGACGGGATGTGGGTTTCAAGAAGTTAGATAAGGGGGCAGGATGGGAACATTATTGGTGGGTGGCAGGACGTGATAACAGCTGATAAGCTGACAAGCTGTTATCAGGTCCTGCCACCCACCAACTGATAAAGTTCAGCACTGGTGCCCAAGGAACAATGGATAGAGGCTTCGTGAGTCAAGTATTCTATCCCTTAGCGATATGGTTACGACCGCTAAGCTCTCGAGTTTCGACGAAAATTAAAACCTCTGGAAGCTGCTCAACGGAAGTACTAGGATGTGAGAAACGTGAGGATATATCACCGTGATATCGATGTTATTTCCATCAAAATTCTTCCAACCGCTAAGCTATCCTATTTCCAACGGATGGTGAGTGTTTCTTAGAAATGTGATAAGGGCCAGACATTAGCAAACGTTCATTAAATAGGAGAATCATAATGAAATAGGCCGTATTCCAGAAAATTGTAATCGGGCGAAGTGTTCGGGGTCAATACAGGAATCCTGTCAGCGCAGTACCATTACCATAGGTTCAACCATACGCGCAGTAGTGCGCGTCAGCCAAGCTTGTAGCATATAAGACAGGCATTTAGTCCACTCCGAGCCATTGCACAAGTTGCTCGTGTGCTAGCTGGACGTGAGCCTTGCGAGGGCCAGTGTGGGGTGAGCGGTACAGGGAGAGGGTGAGGAGTGGGATGAGTGGGGGGAGCGTACCATGAGGGAGGCTAGATTTTGCTGGATTAGAAAAACATCATAGCTAGCACCACTGGAAGCGATAAGACGATGAGTGGAGGGAACAACCGCTAGCAGGGCCGCGAATAAAATCCATGCTATAGTACCGCTCTGAGGGGCTGCTTTGGTCGTGATTACAACCTGAACTATAGAAACCACGTAGTGCACTTTAAGTCACACGAGCTGCTCGCTCGAAGAAGCTGGGCGTGAACATGTGCAGGAGCAGTGTGGTGAGAAGGTGGGGCAAGTAGATATTGGGAAGGGGATTACTTGGAATGCATACGGATAGAACTACAGCTTAACTGAGGAAGCAAAAGCACTGTGAAAGCGATGAGATGATGAGTGAAAGGATCAACCGCTAGCACGATCTCGAATAAATTTCATGTTATGCTCTCACTTTGGGGCTATGTTTCGGTCGTGATTACAACCACCCCAATATAAGAGAGCTATGAAGTGCACTCTAAGTCACTTCACGAGCAGCTCGCATGGCAGCCAGACGCGAACACGTTCAGGAACCATGGTGGGAAGGGTGGGGAGAGCGAGATGGGGAGAGGGTGAGGGTAGGTGAGATGGGGGTACGAGTGGGGGAGAGGGGAGAGGGGGAGCTCAGCTTACGCTGGGTTAGAAGAACTCCATAGCTGTAGAACCAAAGCATAAGGTGATGAGAGAAGGAACCAACCGTTAGCAGGATTGCGAATAAAAACATGACATAGTATCACTTTGAAGAGATGATCTAAGCTTACACCTCCACTATAAAAGAGGACAACGTTGTGCACTCCACTTCACTGCAGCTGTAGCTGTACGCGAACACATGCATGGGCCCGTGATCAAGGGTTGGGACGGGCAGATTTGGAAGGGGATAGCGAGAGTTGATCGGATTAGTGAATAGGGGGTGAGATAGTTAGCTGTTGATCATTGCATTGCATAACTGTGGAGGCAAAAAGATGAGTGAAAACAAAAATATGAAGAGAGAAGGGATTAATTACTAGCAGAGTGGGAGTCAATCCATGTTGTGGTGTCAGTCCTAGAGTGAATTTTCCGCGACAACAAAAGGACCAGTGGATATTATAAGGCAAGGAACGGTGTTATTGTCATACTTATGTTATGTCGTGATATCGACATATTGTAAAGTATGAACTGATCAGAACTGAACCAAAAAGTTCAAACATTTGCAATTTGGTCCCCACCTGTGATCTGAATTTTGCACGAGCTTACATGAGCGGCAACCTTAAGTGACAAGCAAAACAAAAATGAAATGGCAAGACAACCATTCGGTACGCTCCGAGTCATTGCACGAGCTGCTGGCGTGGCAGCTGGCCCGTGGCTCGTGCGGGGGCAGGGTGGGGTGGAGCCAAGGGGGGGGGGGCACACCCCTACCTCCTTCCCTGTACGTGCTCAGCTGGACCTGAGCATGTGCATGTGAAGGAAGTAGAGGGGGGGGGTAGATGAAGGGGACGGGGAGCGCAGCGCACGCTGAGTAGGATAGTAGCTGAAGAGGAGGACAGCAGACGACTGCTAGCAAACCGCGAGGTAATCCAGAATCGAGTAAATTAGGATGTTGTTCTGATTGTGATAATACTCTCACCCTATACAAGACAACAATTTAGTACACTTCAAGCCATTGCTCAAGCTGCTAGGCATTTCGGTGCAAGTGATGTAAACGAAATTTGTTCTTCTACTGAGTGATTCACATTGCGCTGTATTTTCCGACTACACATTGTATGCTATGTAGTGCAGGATTCTAAGCCTCGCTCTATCTGTTACGATTCGGTTCCTACAGCGCCGTATGAGCAGCCCACTATAAAGCTCCGTTAAAATTTTGAAGCGCGCCTGGCAAAGCCAGGCTAGCTCGGCGAAGCCGAGCTAAAGAGAAGGAGGAGAGCTTGGCGTTAGCCGGGCGATCCGACTGGTAACATGATAAAGAATTAATCTTGAACCCCGCACACGACAATCACAGAATCGGAGCCAGTACTCACGCTGAGAGCAATTCACGTACAAACTTTTTCACTGCATATGGCGCGTGATGGAGGTGGGTTTGGCACGGCGCCAGTCCATGCTCTACCAGTTGTTAAAACGGGCAAGTGACAGCAATCGGTAGAAAACGCGCTGGCAAAGCGCCAAACCACCAACCTTTATCTGATACCCCTCAGCGTCTGTTGTAAAAGCGACTATGAATTCAGTTGCCAGAACTGAGAGCATCATCGTAGGTTTAGAAAAAATTCTAAGGCTTGCTACAGAATACGGCATCGCTGTGAGAATCCTTTTAGAGAGCCGTATTTGGTCGTCCATTGGTGAGGTGGGAGGGAGGGGTGGTGGGGAGGGAGCGCCTATGTTGCTCATTTCCCCGTTTCAGACGCGCTTCACCATATACCTCCCGCTCCTCGCTCGAAAGTGAAAGTGAAGGAGAATTTGGTAATAGCGGTGGGGTGTAGGTCGTAGCGGTGAGAAGCAAAGGTTTGTGGAAGGCGGTTATTCTGACGCCGCACTCGGCGCAACCCGATGATGTACCCGCAGTTGGCGGGATGCCAGTGGGCGAAACTAAGCTGTACGATGTTCTGCTTAATTCTCTGATGCCAAAATCGTGGGAAGAGCATTAGAAGTAGAAAACTTGTTTTCAGTGGAAAGTTTGTGTTTCACTTCCAATACCACCATCCGACTCCCTTAGCCTTTGTATTTCCACCCTATCGGCTCATAGATTTCATTCTAGTCCATTCCGCAACATAAAGTCCCACCCTAAAATCTCCGTCATTGGTGCACACAGTTTCAATTTTGTAGTTGAGAAAACGTAGAGTGAAACAAAAGCAATCGAAAAACCTCAAAAGATGCTAGTCACAAAGGTTGATGCCACTCAAGAGACCCAAGTTGCACCTCCGCTCACAATCTAGTAGAGGTTTTCCCTAGCTGGACGTACACTAGGCTACCAGATCACCTCCTCCGATTCTGGTCCTTGTCGTGTGCGAGGTGAATAGCTCCACGGGAGTGTGGGACTGTAAAATTGTGTGGAACTCCGCCACTCAAAAGCGTGCGGATATGAGGCTGGAGGGCAGTGGTAGGTGGATGCTTTAGGGCTCCAAGCCCTTGCCTATAAAATTGTGCTTCTTTTCTGCGCCCTCTTGTTTGGCTGAAAGCTACTCTTCTCTTGTCTTCTCACACTACATAGCTGTCTATACACTTACACCTTGCCGCGAACGACAGTTTGCCGTTCATGTTGTTCGCTGTAGGACCTCAGCATAGACGCAC